TCATATGATCTGGGTACCAAACATGAAATATAACGATGCCAATAAAGCTAGCGACGAACAGACCGACATCGGCTGACTTCAAATGTTTGGTCAACAGACACGTCGAGATTTCCGTTAGTCCACTAAAGATCGGTGCTGAAAAGATATAAATCGACAGTAAGCATGTATAAGGGCGTAAACGCGGTAATCTATTATCTCCGTCGATTTTCTCTCTTCAGTTAAGCGAAACAATTTTCTGGAATGTGTTCAATGTACTGCTGTAACAGGTTGTATTGGCTATCAAATAAAACAACAAACTCATCGAGAAACGTTAAACTAACCAAGTTATTAATAAGAGAAACACGACGAAAAGAATCGATCATCGCGTTTACGCCCTTATGCATGCTCACATGCAACAGCCAATGGGTACCAACGCAGGTAATCATCAGTTAGGAATAGACGGGTCCACCAATTAATGTCCCAGTGGATACCTTTCCGACTCGTCGAACCAGTTCAGTTGTTGTACTCGGTAATGTTCGGTACCTGAAAATATGAATAATAATTTCAATGGCAGGTAATTCCTCGAATGTAACTCATACTTACATCAATCAGCTCCTACACCCTCTAGAGTGACATCCACGTATCGGTCAGTCCATATTTAACGGGTATTTCGAACGTCAACACACACATCAGCACCGACGTCGTCGCCCAAGAGTTCACACAACGCATCCGGGGCAAGTAACCGACCTCCTCTCGACGAATTCGTTCGATCTTACGGATGAATACATCTTCCAAGGAATTGTTTCGGTGGTATTCCGGCCCAAAGCATTATAGTCTTATATTCACCTGCCACTTGTGACCGATCCAGGGAAAATCGAGAAAACAATGTAACTTATAATGGTTTACATTTATGTATTTTTTTGTTTGCTTGTTCGCTTGTCTCAAAACGGGGCTTTTATTGAAAACTAGCTACACGGTAAGAAAAAAGTATCCAGAGTGTGAATGTCAAAGATTTTTTGAAAACTGTTCCAATGCTTCATGCATGATTATCATATAAGATAGATCCGAGGACAGATCTTCTTGGCAGCAATGTTCATCCCAAAAATAATTATAAAATAAACATCTGAAGGAACGCAGAGAACACGCGCGCAGTGAGACGGACCGACGGAGAATCGCTGGTGCTGTGAACAATGTGATTGGTGAGGCAGAAGGAAAAGTCAACTCTTTCATTGTCACGACGTTCTTATGCATAATCTAGTGTGACGTAACGTTGGATCATGCATCGTAAGAACACCGTGAGAACGAAAGAGTCGACTACAATCCTTCTGCCGCACCTGTAGTAACGCACACGGTTCCCGCGCTGACTGTTCCTTACTTTCTCACTCTAACCAAAATTTTCTTTGATGAGTGAGAAAACAGCACTCCGTCAACGCGAGTTGCCAGATCATTGCACACAAAACCAACTTGAATAAATTCAAAACAAAAATACTAGCGAACCTGGCGGTGAGCGGCGGAAGGTGGACTAAAATTCTATTACAGAGAACCACATTTTTTTAATTAATTTCTTCGGAGAAAGTCGTCTGTCACTTCGTTTGTGATACTAGTATAAATTCCAATACTACACTATGTTTGTTTTGATTCGCTATGAAAGTTTGACAGATAAAATGAGGGGTTAGTGGATTTTTCTATGTTTCGAGGGGTGAATCGATTAGCTTGGGACTGAAGAGAGTACCAGAGCTGAGCCAAAAAGTTGAGCACGTTATTTCGGGACCTTCTATAGTCTTAGAGTTACACGCAGAAAAAACTATCGTCGGAATCTAGGGGGAAGACATATAGATCTGACATTAATTTTTGTAGTAATATTACAAAAATTGGTAGTTATCATGATATTATAATACTATAATACTACATTATAGTAGAAATCTCCACCAAATGACAAATAAGTATTTGATTTTTAACAGTGTATAAAATGACAGATCTTTTTTGACTATCCTGCATCTCGATGGACCTGGTTAACACCCTCGAACACAGGAGTCAACAAGGCTAAGCAATCGAGTGCTGAAAATTGAAAAACTACAAATCGAAGCAGACCATGACGATGGTAAAGAGGTGACAGCTTTCGATTCGGAAGAGGAAGATGCTTTTGCTCCCGAGTTTGCTCCAACGATAACGACCCCAGCGTGGCAATATCACTAAAAAGCTCCAGCATGCATAGCGGATGAATCTTGCGTCGTTCAGGTATGTTGTATATCCTTTATAGAGCGAGAACCCTGTTTCTCTTCAAACGATGTGGGCATTTGTTTACAAGTTTTCTCTCTTTCAGAACCGGATGAGAGCTGCATGTTGTGCTACCAGCAGTCCCATACGAAGGGTGGTGTCTGTGCAGAAGATGGCTAACGGCATATATACAGTGCTTTCCAACAAGTAGGCCACAGCGCCGAAAATCTACGACGTAGCGCTCATAATCCGCAGTGTACCCTTGTTGAATGGTCTAACGAAGGTATTTATCCGTAGCCCTCGCACGGTGTACGAGTTGGACAAGTTTCGGAAGGTACGGCTGAATAAGTTAGCGGTGTTAATGCGGAAGACGTGCCGGTGCGGACAGTTTTTTTTTTTACTATAGGCTGATGATAGCAGCCTTCTAGTGGACATGGAGGATCGATAATAACGTGTAACAACAAATCAAATCCATTTCTTTCTAGAAACGAGAAACAATCGATAAACGGATTTGTAGAAGCAAGCCAACAAGTTGGCTCTGGTTATTAGCTGGTTTTCGCCCTCAAAGTTTCAACTCTATGCAACTCTGTTCCTCGGCAACATTTGTCTAGGTGGTTGTGATTTGACGCGGAATATTCCATCGAATACAACAATGTTAGTGAAAAGCGACCCTGTATTCACATAGAGGTAACTCTAAGACTAGAAGGTCCCGAAATAACGTGCTCAACTTTTTGGCTCAGCTCTGGTACTCTCTTCGGTCCCAAGCTAATCGATTCACCCCTCGAAACATAGGAAAAACCAATAACCCCTCATTTTATCTGTCAAACTTTCATAGCGAATCAAAACAAACATTGCGTAGTACTAGAATAGGGTACGTTAATCGTTTGCTTGGGACCAATAGGCTACTAAAGTGGTGAGCCAATTTAAAATCGTTAGTTTCGTATTGATTGTTAATATTCATGTCGCGGGAAAATATTGACATGAAAATATTGACGAAACTTCTGGTAGCAAACCCCACGTATCAATATATTGACACGAATTGGATCTATTGCCAAAAATATTGATGATTTGAATACAGAAATATTGTCAATATCGATGTATTGAAGTCAATATAGAATGTATTGACAATACGATTAGGTTGGTCCCGGCTCATGTGTGTTCAATGGGTGCGATATTCTACACAGGTGTGGAAGCTGCCTTCCTGTACATTCGATTGCCGTCAATGGATGGCAATCGATTTCCGTCGGTGATTGGCACTAGATTGCGGAACAGAGACGAACGATAAATAAAAGAAAGAAAGAAGAAGACTGCAGCTCCAGTTCGCTGCACATTTCAAAAACCAAAATTTGGCAAAATTTTATTTAAAATATTTTTAATAAAATGCTGAAAACCGCATTCTTTTAAAGTGTTTCTGTCCCTGAAAAAAAATTGAAATTTACCCTTTTCTCGGCAAAAAAAAAAAAGTTTACTGAGATCTATCCAGGGTTGAATCAACAATCAATACGAAACTAACGATTTTAAAATGGCGCACTACTTGACTAGCCTATTGGTCCCAAGCAAATCGATTAACGTGCCCCATTCTTGTCGAAATTCTAGTACTACACAATTTTTGTTTTGATTCGCTATGAATGTTTGACAGATAAAATGAGGGGTTAGTGGATTTTCCTATGCTTCGAGGGGTGAATCGATTAGCTTGGGACCGAAGAGAGTACCAGAGCTGAGCCAAAAACAAGTTGAGCACGTTATTTCGGGACCTTCTAGTCTTAGAGTTACTTCTATGGTTGAATTGTTGGGCTCACTCTCGAACAATTTCAAATGAATTTGGTTTTGATGTATTAACGACTGTTCCTGAGATGTGCTTTAGTTATAGATGGTTATAGGTTGTTTAGCCCTAGAAACTAGTTTGGTATGTTCAATATTTAAAATCTTCGATACCTACTAGTAGCTGTTCAGTATATCTTCCAAAATACAGGTTTTCCATAACGTAAAACAAAAATAATCTTGTATCGTTAATGTTGACATTTCCATATATCAGTGCCAACATTTCAAAGGGGCGTAATTGCTTTTGTAAACAATGACTTTAGTCGTCAATTTCTCGTGAATGAAATCTTACCTCTCCAAAATAACAATGCTAGCTGGTAGAGGAGACATTCCTCTACCTGCTGGTGTTATTATTTTTTATTAGTGAGCTTTTATTCGCGAGAAATCGACGACTAAAGCCATTGTTTACAAATGCAATTACGCCCCTTTGAAATGTTGGCACTGATATATTTATTTCACTCATCATGTTCTTTGGCGGTAGTCTAAAGGGTAGCTCTGTTCTTAATAATCAACACTGAAAATCAAGGGGGTTACAATTTTTGAAGATTCTGAGAGTAACATCCATTAAGAGACGCAAGTTTGCAACTCTTTAAGTCCACTGCACACGTGCGGCAAATCACGCAACGATATCGACCCACTCATCATTCAAAGCATCGACTCACTTGAATAAAGGGTATTTCTTAATCGCGTTTGCGTTGCCGCGGCGGTTCCGCTTGCAAGATTTGCCGCACGTGTGCAGCGGACCTAAGAATTTGGGAAAAACTGTGGATTTCGGACATTTCTTTCGGTTGTAACCATTTGAAAGGATCATTGTATGCGTCTGCTTTATATTTATTGATTATTTATTAAATACAGAAAAACTACAAGACAGAAAAATGTGTACCAAATATGCCTATTCGGGATATCAACGTTTTCGACTTTCTCTTTATTCTCTCATTCTCTGGTTCAAAAATCATGTTTTTTTCACCAACCGGGATGCGGCATCTAGAAGAAGCATATTTTGTACACATGATACATTCATATGTATTGTGTTCATCGTTCCGTTGTTTTTTTTTTGCTTGATTTGTTACAACCTCTATACTTTGCATTAAAATAATGCCCATTTTCCTACAAGTATGGGACTTTAATCCTTCATGCTGATTGATTTTTTTTTTGTTTTTCTTTTATATATTTTTAATTCGTTAGATGCTTGAAAAAATCCCACTAATTGTATTCATATATCTTTTTGCTTTCATTTGTGTGGCGTTGTGTTCAAGTAATATGTTCTTTTCATCATTATTATCGTGTACTTTAAAACTTGATCCTTGATTACTTTCAATGACAGCAAATACATTTACGATGCAATTGTTCAATAATCAATACAAAGTAGCGACTATTTCTTTTTTACCATAACTCGATTAGATGAAAAAAACACAAAACCAAATGTCAAAGTACGAATGATTATAGTTCCATTCAATTGCAATAAACGAAAGCTGAAAACTGAGGCAAAACCTGTTCATTACGATTATAGTATGGATGTATTATATATTTTCTTGGAAAATAAAACCCACTAATTCTATGCAAAGTATAGCTTGTATTATGGTGATTTATGCAAGACTTTTACTCTCCGTGTCCAGCAACGCCAGAGGAAAGCGACAATCTGGTGCATATATTGGTTTGGTTGGCTTCAATACGCACACATTTTTGCTTCCAATATTTGTAATTCGAAAGAAAGGGCTTCGTTCAACTTCTGGTTTGAATGCTTGCGTAAAAATTGCGCTGTTTTCTAGTTATTTTTCTTTGTTTGATCCAAGATGCAGCGATTATTATACTTTTGTGTTGCCAGGTTCGTATTATACTATACACATAAATAACTCGAATGGTTTTGCTTGGGCTCTTATTGACAAGCAACGACCATTATTTCTCTGTTGATGTGGTCTGATTTCACGATTTACTTAATTTGAAGGAATTTTATTTACTTTGCACAAATGCAGATTGACAAATTATACAACACATACCTTGCAAAACGTTTGCAATCGGTTTTTGCATCTGCTTCAGTGTAGCTAAGAGTAGTTATAATTTAATTTGCTTTCTTTGAATAAATGTTTCATAGCGATTACTAGTTATTTATGTATTTAGTTAATCTGATTCGATAAACTTTTTATTGAGTTTACACAATAGAGCAGTGGAAAATTAAATCAGGCCTATTCAGGGTAATAAAACCTTAATATCTAAACTGTAATACATAATATTAGAAAGGCCAAACAAACAAAAATAAAGTAGACAAACGAACGTTACAATGATAGTCCAATGAAATAAACGCTTTCATTATTATTCTCAAAAGAGAATACAAACCGGGAGCATAAGAACATCCAAAATCATTAAAAATTATTGATAAACGTTAGACAAATACCTAGAGTAAAAATGTGTTTGTTTTAAGAAATGTTTACGCCCAATGGCGGTGGCATTCCATCCGAGCGTGTAGGCGTCGGGAGAGGTGTGAACAAGATTGCATTGACTCTGCTACTACACGCTACAGATAGATGGTTCTCTCGGTTCGATGTGGATGCGTCTCGCAAATTGCTACGTGTTCGGAAGCGGACAATATGAACAGTAGAGTGTCGTTTGTAGGGTTCCGCTCGAACACGACCTGCTGGAATGGCTTACTTTGCGAGTGCTTCGTCTCTTTGCTGTTGTTCTTTGCGAGATTTAAGTTCATCAACCGAGTTACGTTCTTGCAATACCTGTAAGTTTTTGAGAAATTGAAACATGATTAAAGAAGTGAAGAATCATAAGCTTTTAAGGAGAAAATTTTTTGAACCAATATTGAAGAGGATTATTTTTCGTTACATAAACACTTTTTGGATTGTTTACCCAAACTTACTTGAACTTTGTTACCGTGTATATTTTTTTTACTGAAAAGGAACTATTGTTTCCTACAACTTTGTCGCAGACATCATTTAGATTGGAGGTGACGGTTTCGAGTTATGATTTGTTACACATATCGAATACGCAGTGCTGGTAGCAATCCATGCTGTTAAAAATAGTGGTTATAGTGATCATGTTGAAGAAATAAGTGACCAAATAGAGACTTATAGTTGTAAAAAGTTACCTAAGAGAAGAAAAGTAGTCGTTCGGATGGCACACCAAATAAGGTTTGATGTTTTAAACTTATTCAGTTGAATTTCGTAATGTACGATATGAACCTGAATGAAGATTCAATAGAAAGTTTATGACCAAACCCACTGTTTTAAAAACTGTAAAACCAGGAATCATCAGGATATTTTACTTTTCCTGGAAATACCTGGAAGTCTCAAGGAATCTCATAATTACTCAGGGAATTTAATAACTTTCTAATTATATATTTTTATTTTAAAGAATATACTGCATTTAATTTTCCTCGTTATTTTCTTTGACACATTGAACTTTATAGATCTAGATGTTTTTTTTTGGTTCTGGAATATGCATATTTTCAACAAAATTTTAAATTTGAACAAGTTTTTGAAATTCTGGACTTAAAAGTCATAAATATATCAAGAAATTTTCAAGAATCTGGAGTCAAATTTCTTGTACAGTTTTAAAGGATCATGGAATTTTATTATAATTTCTAAGGACCTCATTGCAAGGGAGTTTTGGGAAAAAGATCTTTGAGAAAAAAATCAACTGCAATTTGTTTTCAAGATAGTTCTGACGAATATTAGATTTTATATTAAGCCTGATGAGATAGTTTTGAGTAGAATACCAAGAGAACCCAGAATTGAATTCAAAGTAAATTTGTGGGACAAATTTCTTGGGATTTTTTGGAGAATACTTAGGGGGTAAGGGATGTTAAACGGAGGACTACAATTAAATCTGAGAGAAACTCCAGGAGATCTTCAAAGGAATTCCGTAAAGAATTCCAGTAGAGTTTGCCAAACAAATTATGAAGAGAAATCTAAGGAATTTGTGAGGAGAAATGCAAATGTACACTTAGGAGACTTTTCAATGCGAGTAAAATTTCAAGGGGAGGAGTGAGAATCAAAAGGCAATCTGAAATGAATTCTGAGAAACTCTCCAAAGCGTTTCTTACTGCGGAGAATTTCAAGGTAATTCCGAAGAAAATTCAAAGAATTACGAAGATAGTTCCAACGAAATGTTGTCATTGGAATTGCGAAAAGTATTTTAAGTATATTCCTATATGTTTTGAGAATTCAGAAAAGAAGAGAAGAAAACTCATAGTAAATTGTCATGAGGACTTCAGAACTACTTGATAGTTCCCAACATTTTCCTGAAGTTAATTAAACTGCCTCGAAGTTCTTTCGTAGCTATAGCAATACTTCTCAGCAACATTTTAAAGTTCCCTGAACTTTTTCGGACTTCCTAAAATGTCCACAATTTTCTTATCGAACGTGGATCTTCTTTAAAGTTTTAACAATTCGCTGATGTTCTCGAAACTTCTTTAAAATTTATGTAGTTTCTCTAATGTTAACGGAACAGCTCTGAGGTTCTCTGTTCTTTCTTGAAGTTCTCAAAACTCCTCTGTATATTTTGCAGTTCTCATGAAGCTTGTTGTACTGCCTTGAATTTAATTGAACAGTCCTAACCAGGTGGTAAGTCACTCTGTGCCTGTATTGATTGTGTTTCTTGTGTGTTTTTGGGTGTCGGAAAGTGTTTCTGTGTGTTTTTGCATTTCGAGCGAGCTGTCAAAACGTTGAGCGAAAATTAATGATTACTGGCAACCATTACATCCACATTTGTTTACGAACAGAATTCTTTTTTTTGCTCTCGCCAAAAATTTACCAGATTGATATTGCACAGTGTAAGCATGGAATCCCAGTAAAAGCACACGTCAACGTAAACAGAATTCATATTCTCATCCCTTATCGTCATCCGCATCACCTATCTAAATTAGTGTCCTGTATATGTCCGACTCCAATCTCAAAAAGTACTCCCTCAGCCGTCAAATTCTCAGGGCTCAAACCAGTAAAGCCCTCTCGAATCCATCCATCCCAAACGAATTCCAGTCGCAATCAATCCCTGATAACCCAGCCGAGCATGCCCCTTTTTAAGCAATCTCTGGATCTACATTTTTTTATTTATTTGGGTTACCTCCATTATTGCTGGCCCACCATCGCCTTCTTGAACTCTGGGCACCTGAAACTTCCCGTCACATGGCCGTTTCCGTCCTTCTTTTTGCAGATTATGCACCTCGGTTGTGTGACATGCGCAACTCACATGTCATCAATTTCCAAAAAATCATTTCAGTTTTCAATTAGTAACAAGCATTTTCCCATGCCTCACTCGGACATCGAACTCCTTACGCAGCAAGTGCATGGAGCAGTTCGATGAACGCTAAAACGAATTCAATAACCCATACTCGGCGTCTAAGGATATCGTATTGCTTGTCGCCAAGGCGCACTCCGGGCAGCCGATATTCCTAGTTGCTAAGCCATTTTCAGCGCAACCGATTTAACCAATTTGCCTTCTCCAAATTACCTCTCTCTCTCATTCTCTCATTCTCTCGTTTGTTAATATCGATCGCTGATTGGTGATCTTTTACATAAACTGTCACATAATGACTTCAGGTGTCTCCCGTAGGAAAAATGTGTTAAGGAATATAATTCTGAATAAAGATCATTATTGTTCTAACCACCAACGAGTGCGTTTGTGATTTTCGGAAAGATATCAAAATCCAGAAGAACCTATAGGGACAAAGTGTCCCAAGTTGTAACATGGCTACCTACGACAGGTATCAGTGAAATAAGTCCCGGTAGATAAAAGTGCGTGAAGATCATGGACATTGTGGTGTGATTTAATACAAGAGGTGCGACTTCACGGGTCTGTACTAGATGTGATCAAGTTGGAAGTAATGTATGTTTGCTACAAAAATGTGCTATAACAGTTGAATCTAATCACCCTGGTGCAACTTGAACTAGCGGTTGTGAAATGGATATCAATCGTGGACTAATACACACGATAGTCAACCGAGCGAACAAGAATAGCCTCAATTAGGGTAAACTCTCCAGTTAATAGTGGCAGAAGAGTACGGTAGGCAGCAGAACAAAGTGTCGCCACGAAAAGATACCGAAAGTTCGCAGAGTGCAGTGCGATATATCACTCAAGAAAAACTAAAGAGTATTTACCCGCACAACGTGTCAAGTTTCAGACACTGAACTCGGCTTGAATAAAAAGTGACATTTTGTGAATGAAGAAACCCGAGCAGTAGACTGGCCCAAGTTTATAAAGTAAATTTTATCAAAATGGGCAATCAAAAGGCGAAAAGTTCTTCCACAACCCAAGAAGGGAACACCAACGTCAACATAGTGGAACACTTAGAAAGCAGTGAATTTTACCATGAATCACACGAAATAAAGCTGTGGATCATTGTGGCAATCAACGTTTTGCAACTGCTGTTGGTGCTTCGAAAATCTCTGAAGAAGAGGTGGCGTCGGCAAGGATTTAACCGCGCCAGCTCAGCATCCCAAGACAATTTGGACAGTGTCAGAGTAGAACATTAAAAGTGCAAAAAGACAATTGCGTGAACCAGTCTGCGAAAAAAGTGAAGATAAAAAAAAAACTATTACGTGAGCCAGCCTATCGTTAGTGCAACCAAACGGACGAATTTAGTAACGGGAAATGCAAACATAAACGCTATTATCACCGCCAGCGGCTCACACGGTTCAGTAACCATCGACTTCAAACAACAACAACGAGGAAAAAATGACGTGCATGCAGATACGAGACACTTCGGACGATGCAGAGAGGATGGCTGGTGAGCTTAAACATTTCTTATGAATGTATTCCTATGGACATAGAACAAGTTAAGTTAGAGCTTGACTCTAACATTGCACAATTAAATTTCATTTTAGTTAACTTTACTAAAGCTCCTAGAAGGATTTATAGTAAAAAATTCTTGATTGCTAAAGCGAAGCAAATTAAAATTATTTACAATTATATTAATGATTTATTAGCGCAAAATGAATCAAAATTAGCGCAATCAGAACTAAATTTTTACATAAAAGGAGCACGCAATAAATATAGTGATACCGTACAAATCATTAATGAAAAATTAAAATTCGCCAAAGACACGGTATTAAATATTACAACCGTTACCTTTATATTGATTTTTTATATCAAATTAAAAAATAGGATTAATCGAAAAAAATTATTAAAACCCAAGATGGCAAAAGTAGACATAAAAACGGGCACTGCGCTCGTTGAAATATATGATGGCAATCCACAGAGGCTGAATTCTTTGTTGGACTCTATTACGTTGTTTTTCGACTTAGTCGACAACGCTAACGCGGAGGCCACCGCAGCGATTAAAGCTGCCGCTAAAAACATTGCCACTCGATTCGTGAAAACACGACTAACGGGTGCTGCCAGGCAAGCAGTACCAGAAAATGCTACCTATGAAGATTTAGTAGCAGCATTGAAAGAGCATTGTTCTCCAAAAATCACAGCCGATAACATTTTGGCAAGGTTACAAAAAGTTAAACAAACTTCCACCACAGAAGCATTCTGTGATGACGTAGAGAAATTAACTTTACAGCTAAAATCAGTCTATATCAACAACAAAATTCCAAATGATGTAGCTGATCAAATGGCAACAAAAAAAGGCGTTGAATCACTGATCAACGGCACCAAAAACAGAGACACAAAAATCATACTAAAGGCTGGAACATTCAGCAAAATTAATGACGCAATCCAAAAATTAATGGAAAACGACGTGCCAACTGATAATGGAAATAATTCCATTTCTTCA